TTGGGGGGGGGGGGGGGAATCGAGTCAAAATTGTCTCTCTGTGAACTCCAATCCTCCCGCCCTTTGATACATTTCGAATAACAGATACGATAGATTGGATTTGTTTTCTTTTCTTCTGAAGTTCTATGGTGTGAGGTATCTGATTCTTTAAAGGAAGCCTTTGTATCTCTTTAATGTATGAGTATCAGCCCTGTGCTTACACATAAATTTGTTCACATATATTATATGTTAAATCTGTATCATGCATTATCCATTATATGTCATATAATGGTGAAAGAACCCTTGCTGTGATCATCCATGTCAATGATGAATTGTTCTTCCAAAACATTTGGGTGTTCAGTGGATGATGATAGTACAGTAGAGATGTTGATGATGATGCAATTTGACAATAGATTTTTTTTGGGGTTTCAGGTTTAGGAGTCTGAACACAACCATACAGACATTTGCCCCTACAATTCTCAGACATTACAACTTCTGTTGTTTTTACTTCTTTTAGTTAAACACAAAGGACAGGGAGTTTCTCAAAGAACAATAGGTTTAGGTTTCACAAGAATAACACACAAGGCTTTTTTCTTCCCATTAAAAGAGGATAGTGATGAAGGAAGTATGTATCAGTTGCTTCCCCCACCAAAGAGGTATCCAAGAGACGAGCCGCCTCCAGGAGCAGCATGAACCTTAGTTGATGGCCGATCCTGCGTCACAAAACCCGTGCTTTCTCATTCTAACATTGCTCTCCAACGAGAAAACGAAGTCTCTAGACGATTACTTGCAAGCCAAACACTCCAAAAAACTTATGAATTCGCCGAGGATTTGCAATATTCTGAATGAATATGACCACTATAGACAATGCAGGAAAGAGGTTTTGTCAACTAGACCTTGATCTTTAACTTCACTAACAAACATGAATGCAATTATTATCTCCTCTTTTTCCTTGTCTTCTTGACCTAATGCAACTCCTCAAGAAATTTAGCATCTACTGACCAACCTCACAAGATTTATCAAAGTGCCTGACATAAAATAAATTAGACAGCATATAATAATTGACCAAAATACCGGGAAAACAAATCTTACGGTAAGGAAGTTGCCAGTGTTCTGCCCGTCAGCTCGCATGTAGTTGTTGGCAGAGGTGCTATTGATACCAGCAGGAACCTGCTTTGTCACATCCACGGGTTGAGGAGCAACGGGTTTAGATGGCGGTGGGGCATCTACAGGGTGAGTTTCAACTGGAGCATTGTTAGCAGCTGGCTTTGGTGCCTCTCCACTGCCGAAAAGATACCCCAAGGAACTCTGCCCGCCACCCGCACTAACTCCACGGCCCATTCTTTATCACTTCTTGCGAAATCTCCTAAGAAACGTACAAGAGAGATGGCAACTGGAATCAAGAGAAAATCCACGGTATTCGAAAAATGATGGAATCACATTAAAGAAGACTGTACAATCATTAAGTCACTCAATTCCCAGATTTCTGAACAAAATTTCTTTGATATTCCTGAGATCAAGAGCTAACAAAAGCACCCGTTTCATATCAAAGGAGAGTTTATTTCCCAAGCCTCAAACACCATATTTCACAAAAAAGGTAAAAAAAAATACAATTAGAGAGAGAAATGTGTAACCCAAAACCTATAGCAAGCAAAAAAGCCAATGACACAATAAAACTCATTGGTACTTCAGTGAACACTTGAGCTAATGGTCCCCAATTTGAAATCTCACTTGACGACAATAAGAGAGAACAAACACATCCATGCAGCGATTTTGACTTCAGAGATCCATATGAACAAATCAGAAGGTCATCGACAACAGACGAATTTCCAGAAACAACGCAGCATGCCAAATGACACACTCCGAAAGGACACTTAAAAACCCTACCCTGCATCATTGTTTTCGATAGCTAACACATTGATACAATTTTGAGAGCAGCAGACCACGAATCAGCAAGAGAGCAGCATCTCGATCGAAATCAAATCCAGACATCATCGCTCAAAGAGAAAACAACACAAAACATATCGAGATCGGGGATACCATTCAACTCACCAGCAACGATTTCAACCCAAAAGAACAACAATAAACACGACGAAGAATCGATCTAGAAAACACATCCTAGGGATTCGACCGAGAGATTTACCTGAGGCGATAAGAGATCAGATCTAATGATCCGAGAAGGAGCGAGGGAGAAAGAGCCAGTGAGCGAAAGCAAGACGCCCGTGATATATAAGCAAAGTGGAGAAGAGAGGGGACGCGAAGAAATTCTCTCTTTCTTAAACGAGAATATGATATTTCCACGCCGCGTTTTTACTTCGTCCAGAACGAATCTTTCGTTGCAAGGAGAAAAAAGAGAGAGTGGAAATAGTAATTTCTGCTGACTTCAAAACGGTGTCGTTTGGTTTTTAATAAATAAATAAATAGGTAAAAGCGAATATTATCATTACAGAAAGAGAAGCCTATTGGCATGTGTCCTGAAAGCTTCACGAACTGAGGCCAGCCCAGTTCTTGAAGGCAATGAGCGCTTCCATTTTCTTCAAGTTTCTCTTCCTCAGCTTCGACACACTAATCTTCTTGTGATTCTCCATGAAAGCCTGCTTGTATCTCCACTTATCCACAAATATCTTCATCTCCTGAGATTTCTCCACAACTTTCATGGCTGCATCAAAGAATCCTCCTTTCACCAATGCATACAAGAAACCATCCACCAGTGCATGGTCCAGCTTTGTCTTCTTCTTCTCTCCTTCTCCTTCTCCTCCTCCTGATGATGATATCTTCCCTTTCATCTCATTCCACAACAGCAGGACATTGAAGTACTTCTCCCCACTGACATACCCATTGATCAGTGACAAGTATGTCTGGTTATTCGGCTCAAACTGTAAGAAAACCATCCTCCTGAATGTCCTCCTCGCATCTTCTAACCGCCCGGATTTGCAGAACGCGTGAATGATTGAATTCCAGTCATGGGACTTCACCTCTACCCGAGGGTCTCCCACAACTTCATCCAAGAACGCTGCCATTAACTCTGGTCTCTGATTCTCGAGGAGACCCGTCATTATTGTCAAGTAGCTACCTTTCAGATCGGGACCTCTTGCTTCTCGCATATCCCTGAACAACGTAAACGCGGATAGGAAATCCTGGTTTGTCATGGATGCCTCGATCAAAGCTTCATAAGTCTCTACATCTAATTGAAGTCCCGAGCCGGTAATCTCAGCTACGAGTTGAGTAGCTTCAGCCGTTCTGTACTCTTTGCAGTAGGCTTTCAAGATCGGGACATAAACCCCAAGCCCCACTGACCCTCCCCGAGCATTCATCTCGTCGAGAATACTGTGTGCTTTATCCGAAAATCCAAGATTGACACAAGCATTTATGATTCCAAATCCAACTGATTTATCAACAGCTACAGTTGAAGATTCCAACTTCTGGGCTTCAATTATCAGAGTTGCTAAGTTCTTTATGCTTTTATTCTCCATAAACCCTTTCACCACTTCACAATAAGTATCTTCCCCAAAGATCGAGTCTTCTCCTTCTTCTTTCAGACAATGCAGGATAACATTTGAGACAGTAGCTAAATCACCCGCCTTAACATACCCACTGACCATGTTGCAATAAAGGATCTTTTTGCTTTTAAAACCAAAACCATCCATCAAATTCTCCAATTCGTTTATCTTCTCCGGGCGCCCCTTCAGTGCAAACAAATAAGCAAGAAACCCAAAACTTGATTCATCGGGCTTCACACCCAAAACGGCCATAGTTTCGACCACGCTCTCAGCATCACTCACTGACTCCAACTGCCTGCAGCACGATTCTAGGGCAGCATTACACGCCGCCAAATCCGGTTTCATGAAATCCAGCTTCTCATCGACAGCAATTCTGCAACTTTCCCTAAAGACCCTGAGAAACGCCGCCAAGCCACCATTTTTCCGGCAGATATCGATTATAACATGCCCCCAGAGATCAAAAGGAACAAAGTACCTGTTCTTGAACATGCACTTGACCAAAGCCAACGCCGGAGCAGCTGCGTTGGCCGATTTCATGGAACCCAGAAGCGAAATGACGGTCTCGAACTCCAGAAAAATCGGGTTTTTCTCCATGACGTAAGCAGCGGAAGCAAAAGCCCGCTTGAGGTTGTGGGCATTTTTTTCACCGCCGCCGCCATCGCCATGGAGGGAGGACAGATGGGTGATGAGGGAGTTCGTAAGATGCTTGTCGGGGAGGGTAGAGGCGGCGGTGAGAGATCGAAAGGCCTTCCAGGCTTCATCTGTATGAAGGGCGGTGAGTGAATTGAGGAGAGCGGATTCGAGGGAGGATTTCTGTTCTAGGGTTAGGGTTTTGGGGTTTTGAGGCGGCGATGGCGGCGGAGTAATGGAGGTTGGTTTGTCGGAAAAGAGAGAAGGTCGGAGAAAGGAATAAAGGGACGGCGTTTCAGTAGTGGAAGAAGAAGAAGAGGAGAAGAGTCTCCGTCGGATTGAAGAAGCGAGAGTTTTTCCGATCATTCTATGAAGCGTTGATCGTCTCGTTCCGAGCATCGGAATCGATATTGCTGGAACTTTTGATAGGTTCATTATACGATGTGATTCCTTTTAATCAAAAGCTGGAATAGCTCAGTTGGTTAGAGCGTGTGGCTGTTAACCACAAGGTCGGAGGTTCAACCCCTCCTTCTAGCGTCCCTTCTTTATATTTATATTTTGTTTTTTTCCCCTGTTTAAATTTTCTTGCAGAAATCTTGATAATATTGTATTTCCTTCATTTCTTACACAAGCAAGAAGCAACCAAGTCATGGAAATTCTTGAAGTCGTACCATACATCGCCTTACAATAACAGCTACTTGCCGAATCCATCTTTAATGGCAAACGGTTTCGGGTTTGAACTTTGAACTCATTTCCAAAGGGAATAGCAGAAAAATTATCTGAAAAAAAGAAATCTATTAACTTTTTCCATCTTCAGCAGAAAGAGAAATGGAAATCTGGGTCCATAGGAATCATGCTCTTCTTCCCCACTACGACCAGTATCCGATTCAAACCCCACCGAGGTTTTTTTTTTTGGGGGAAAAGCAAACCCAACCAATCTGCAATAATCAAAAGAAAAGTACAGAAAAAAAAAACCAATTGATGCTTACCATTTCGGAACAATGGAGAAACTAATGGAAGACAGATCAACGACCGGCCTGTAAGAATCTCCAGCCATCACACTGTTTTCAGAAAGTATGTTTCTTTTACAGACGGAAATCATGTCCAAAGGATTCGCCTTTTCTTGAACATGCAGGTAAAGAATACAAACGAAAGGGCATCTCATTCTCAGGATGTACAAAATAAAAAGCTCTTGATTAGGAATCCAATTCCCCCAAACCCTACAAGAGAAAGTGAGAACGAGACAGAGATATAGCCGTTGCGCTAAGCCCCCACGTGGCAAAATATCAGCCGTCTATCAGATACCATCTAGACAGAGCCACGGTTAGAGAGACGACAGCGGTGGCGGCGGCGGTTTGGGTAGAGCGCGTTTCTCCGGCGTTCTGGTCACCTAAGCCGCTTCCGGTGGGGCCCACTGTGGTGCCTGGAAACACCGAGGATGAGGATGAAGTCGATGTCGGGTTCCCTGTGGTCGGAGTTCCCATTGCCGGTGCTCCGTTGGTCGGATTTCCGGTGGTTGGAGTTCCGGTGGAGCTGTAAGAGCAACAAGAGAAAACCGCAATCAATCTGTCATAAATCACAACCATTGTCCCAAAAGACACTAACCACATAAGATGAGCAAATAGTAGAAAACCTACCCAGAAACAACGAATTCAACTTCAAGGACCTTAAGAACTAAACATGACAGATGCAATAGAGACATTTAAACTAAGACTTTACCTTAAAAAACTTGTATTCTTGTGAAAAAAGCTTAAAGATAACTATATCGCAATCATCAGGGAGAGAAAAAAAAACAGAGATCCGATAGAACAACATACCCTGAACCAGATAAACAGTTTGAAGCAGCTGCTGCAAGATCAACAGAGCAAGAGAGAAACTTTAGCAACAAAATCGACAAAGCTGATCCAAATCAGAGAAAAGGGTCTTTCTGGTTTTTGCAAAAGATTACCTGAAGGAGGAGAGTTGGTGAGTACGGCGGCGCCATTGAAGTCACAGGTGGCACCGGAGGAGGCCTTGCGCTGATAGTAACTGTTGACGGCGACGTCACAGTGGTTCTTGACGGTGTTTGGTTGGAAACACTGACCGTTCTGTTGGATCTGGGCACAATCTGCTCCTGCCCCACAAGCGTAGTCTATTGCCTTCTGAAGAACTGCTTCGCCGCCTCCATCCTTGCATACACAGTAAGCCGCGTCTGTCGTGTGTCCAAAACAGATGTGAGGTTAGTGGGTTCAATGAAAAATTTGAGATTTTGAGAAAAGGGTTGGTGATTTTTTTTCTGGGATTGGTCTTTGAAGTTTTCTTTGAGCTTACTTGAATAAATCATGGAGAAAATGAGAAATAGAAGGAGCAAAACCGCCATGGTTGATGCAATCTCTGTCTGCTGAAAGATGATCCAAGAAGAAGCTGAGATCGAAGTATTGGCCCAAAGACGGAATCCACATAGACATAGAGAGAGAGAGTTCTGGAGAGGCACTGTGAAGATGTGTGTATATATATATATCTGTATTTTTTTCGTATTCTCTTTGCATTCTAGTGTATAATTATTTGTCTCCGAAGACATTTTTAGACACCTTATTTTACAAACCATATGTACATTTTTTTAATATCATATGCTACAATATTTGTTGGTAGGGATATTGATCTCAACACCCATTAATGGTGGCATGTTCTAAGAAAGATTTTCAGGTAGAAAATTCTTGACTAATAGTAGATTTTGCAAGGTAATATTTCAGCGATGTAGAGTCTATAGTGAAACAATGAAGCGTGTAAGATAAGATAATCAATATATATATATATATATATATGTATGTATACATAACATAAGCACCCGATATCAAACACAGACAAAAAAAACGAACGTAGAAACTGGCCTCTGTCTTCTTCTGGGTCGAACTCAATATTTCATCGAACTTCAGAAAAACTTTTGTAAAAACAAAAAATTTAATCAGACGAGAAAGAAAAAAGGGTGAAAATCTTGTGCCCATTTCAATGTTGAATTCCCTCTGCAGCTTCTGCAGGCTTCTGCTCTTCTTGCTTGATGTTATCATCACCTAAAACACAGAACCCCGTTTCCAGTTTTGAAAGATGTTTCGAAAAGAATCAGATCATACGCGTTTTTTAGGGTTTTCAGACAAAAGATCACCTCCGTCTTCAGGCAGGTCGGAGGTCCAGAGAGTGAGGTTGTCTCTCAGAAGCTGCATGATCAACGTGCTGTCTTTATACGATTCCTCGCTTAGCGTATCCAACTCAGCGATGGCCTCATCGAACGCTTGCTTCGCCAAGTGGCAAGCTCTGAAAAGATTCCGATGAGCGTTAAAAAGACGAACTTTCTCTCGTTTATATCCAAGTGATCTGAAACGTTCATTTCGGTTTGAATTTGTATATCAGTCGAACCTTTCGGGGGAGTTCATGATCTCGTAGTAGAATACGGAAAAGTTGAGGGCGAGGCCGAGACGGATCGGGTGGGTCGAAGGGAGCTCTGTGCTTGCAGCTTGAGTTGCAGCCTGTCCCAAAAAACCAAACAAGCTTCATGTCGGAAAGAAATGGTTCGTCTCTGTTCTTGAAAAGCCTCCAAGTCAATCAGAGGTTTTCAACAAATGATGGACTGATCTCACTGACGTACCTCGTAGCCTTTGAGAGATTGCTCGGCGGCTTCTTTCCTCTCGGCCTCAGTCTTGAACTCGGCCAGATACCGGCAATAGTCTCCTTTCCTACACATTCGTAATCGAGATGGATAGAATATCGGTTTAATTTCTCTTAAAAATCAATATTAAGACAAGGAACAGTAACGAAAAAAAATCCGAACTTTGAATATCTGAATATTATATGAGATGATATCAAATTATAGCGCGAGGAATATTCGATAACCGGCTTCAAATGCAGATAATTCTGCTCAAAATCATGTATTACCTAAGAGTATCAAAATGATATTATATATAAACCTAATGAAATTTCGGGTTTGGGTTTGTGTAACCCAAAAAATATATCAGATACTCGATTCGAATCAACTCCAAATATATATCGTATACCAGACTCTCGGATAATCGATAAACGAATACGAGATGGGATAATTCCGGCAGGGTGGATGGGGGGGGGAGACTCACATCTTGTAGTAGAATACAGTGGCTTCGCCGGATGAAGCATGTGGGACGAGATTCTGATCGATGATTCCGAGGATGTCCTCGCAGATCTTGGAGAGTTCTTCCTCGACCTTCTGACGGTACCCTTTGATGATCTTTACGTTAGATTCGTTGCCTTTGGATTCCTCCTTCTGCTCGATGGACGACATTATCCTCCACGACGCACGTCTCGCCCCGATCACGTTCTTGTATCCGACAGATAAAAGGTTCCTCTCCTCTACGGACATCTCGCTGTTCAGCCGAGCCACCTTCTTCATCGTCTCCACCATCTCTGCATCGATTCATGCGCATATATATATATATATATATATATCTTTTTAATGGAAGGGCTTGATCCGTTTACAAACGAAACGTGACGGAAGATGCCAGATCGAAACAAAAGAATATACATATACAGGCATATATATACATATACATGTATGTATGTATGTATAAAGATTACCGTCATATCGTTCGGCTTGTTCGGAGAGCTTGGCCAAGTAAACGAAGGTCTCTCTCTCTTTGTCGGAACCTGAAGAAGACATTTTTTTTTCTGCGATGGAAGAATTAATCACAACAGAAAAAGGATGAAATAAAATGAAGCAGAGATATCTTCTTTTTTCCTTCGACGTTAAGAGAGAATATATATATATATATATATATATATAATATCTGAGGTTAGGAGATGGCAGCGAATGGCGGAATGAAGACCGAATTTCGACCGTTGGATCTGTAATGCTCTGTTTTGTCCCCTTCGTTCCCGCTTTTTCTTCGCTGAATTTTAACTAACTTAGGACTTGTTATAATTTTCTAGATTTTAAATATTGAGCAAAGGGGATGTAGCTCAAATGGTAGAGCGCTCGCTTTGCATGCGAGAGGTACAGGGTTCGATCCCCTGCATCTCCATTAACCATTAAATATTTACAAAATTTTAATTTTAAGGAAATATATTTATTATTTTTTTATATTTGTTCTTTTAATTATCTTCCTAAATTTCGTCGGTGATTCTGCGTGCCCTTCGATGGCGATCGCCGCCGCTGCGTCTCCGAGAATGATGACCGTCGGAAACTATATGCGGCGTTTCTCCTTCTTCTACCGCCGATTTAAGACCGAGTCAACTCACGGGGAACTCACTCCGACCGCCATTACGTCGGTGAACCAGGACCACCTCCTCCGCGTTTGCACTATTCTCTACCAGCAGCAGGACTCGTCCGATTCGCGACTCGCCTCGAAGCTCTCATCCACCGAGTTCCAACTCACTCATGAGTTCTTCCTCCAGGTCTGCCACAAGTTCCCCCTCTCATGGCGTCCCGTTCACCGCTTCTTCTTATACGCTCAGACTCACGACCCTGAATTCCCCCATTCCTCCACTACCTTCAACAAGATGCTCGACGTCATTGGTAAGTCCAGAAACACTGATCTTTTCTGGGAGATGGCTCAGGAGACTGGGAGACGCCGATTGGCGAACGATAAGACGTTTCGAATCGTGTTGAAGACGCTTGCTTCTGCTCGAGAACTGAAGAAATGCGTGAATTTCTTCCATCTGATGAACGATTTTGGATATTCCTATAATGTACAAACGTTGAACAGGGCTGTGGAAACTCTCTGTAAGAACAAGCTTGTTGAAGAAACTAAATTTGTCGTCACAAAGCTGAAGGAGTGTATCAAACCGAACGAGATTACTTACAGAACGATGATAGAAGGGTTTTGCGATGTGGGTGACCTGATCGAAGCAGCAAAGCTCTGGAATTTGATGATAGATGAAGGGTTCGAGCTTGATATTGAAGCCGGTAAGAAGATCATGGAAACATTTTTCAAGAAAAATCAATATGAAGAAGCTATGAAGGTTTTCAACGTGATAAAGTTGAGAAAGGCAGAGGATCTGGATGCCTCTTTCTATAGGATTGTGATCGATCCGATGTGCAAAAATGGCAGAATCGAAACCGCACGCGAGATGTTCGATGAAATGCGTCAAAGAGGCATCCAAGTGGATAATCTGACTTGGGCGTCGATAATCTATGGACTTTTGGTGAGAAGACGAGTTGCAGAGGCTTATAAGATTCTGGAAGGAATTGAAAACCCCGATATCGGCATCTATCATGCACTGATAAAAGGACTGTTAAAGATGAAACGGGCTGGCGAGGCAACAGATGTGTTCAGGGAGATGATAAAGAGAGGGTGTGAGCCGATTATGCATACATACATTATGTTGTTGCAAGGGCATCTGGGGAAGAGAGGGAGGAAAGGACCTGACCCGTTAGTGAATTTCGATACTGTATTCGTAGGAGGTTTGATTAAGGCAGGGAAACGATTAGAAGCCACAAAATATGTGGAGAGAACGATGGAGAGAGGGCTTGAAGTGCCGAGATTCGATTACAGCATGTTCTTGCATTGTTACTCGAATGAGGAAGGTGTGGTGATGTTTGAAGAGATTGCTAAGAAGTTCAGAGAGGTGGGTTCGTTTGATCTGGCCGACATATTCCAAAGGTATGGGGAGAAAATGGCTACTAGAGACAGAAGAAGAGAGAGAGCAATTGCCTCATAATAAGGATGCTCAACTCATATTGTGGCTGATTCTTCCTGAAGAGTTTGATGAAGAATCAGCCGATTGATTGTAGCAATAAGACGATTCAGTTTGATGAAGCTGTTCATCTCCCATCTATTCCCCAGAAAACGACGGGTAAGTAAGTCTGTAAATATGAATCGCTTGTGAATTCTAATGTTATTGTTAGAGGGTTGAACTTTTGAATGTGATTTGCTTTTGCGGGACAGTAAAGAATGAGGGGAATCTCTGTAATTCCCCAAGCTGGTGAATTATCTGAATGGTAAAACCTTTGGTGAAGAGTCAGATTTTGGTCAGACCAGGTCTTGGCACTGGCTCTTCTTGTAGACGGACACAACTCAGTCATCTCTTTCTCAAAGTTATTTTGAACTTGGATGTACCCCCGAGAGCATTTGCATCTGTCGGGGATGTGTATATTTCCCTCTGGAACCAGCCCCCGAGAAAGCGAATTCCTCTTGGATCATATCATCAAGCCGATATTCCTGAATGGGAAGGTAGAAAACAATCTGTCTGCCCGGACAGGGGATCTGTCTGTATAAGGCGTGTTCATCGTCATACGAGGAAGCAAGAGAGGATGAAGACGTCGAAAGTGGCAGTGACGACAAGGAAGCCGATGTTGATTCAGGACATGGCATCATGCCATGTAATGATCATGGCGTCATAGAGGAAATATATGATGAACAGGTCTTGAATTGAGTTGTTCTTTTCCGAGATTTGTGAATCAATTTCTTAGTCGTGGAATCTTTTTGCGGTTGAAGTGTGAATTGCTCAGAATCTCCTCTTTTTGATTGAGAAGGACTCTCTTACAGTTTTGTATTGGATACTGGATCTTCACTTTTTGTACTGAAGAAGGAAGTCGGAATGCGAATTCCGCCATTGCCGTGAGAAGCAAGCTTTGCTCGCGAATAAAGAAAACCCTAACTCTTGATTATTTGTATAATATATATAAAATAATATTATTCATTTTTTTTATCATTTGTATATCCTCTCACTCCGTATGTCACGTGATTCTTACATTTTAAGCTGAAACCATTATTTCCCACATCAACAATAGTGTAAGTTGTTGGATTCTATCTCTGCCAAACCCCCGTTCTTATTTTTTTTTTCTAATAATATTTTTTAGTTTTAATAATTAAAAAAGATTATTTCAAATGAAAATAATTTTTACGCCTCTTCTACAGTTTATTTAACTAATTATCTCCACATGAACAACTCAAAGACAATGGATTTTACCTTTACATTTAAAACAGTTTGGATTTTTCTTTTTTTTTTAATAAAAAAATTAAGTGTGTGATGGGGATAAATAATTTGGAGAGGTGAATAAATTAATATTTGGAGTTGAAACTACAAAACAGACTTCGTAATCTTCTATGCCAAAGTTTATTGCTTTTGAATAGGGGAATATGTGGCCTTTCACCACTCACGTTAACGGTTCCACTATTCCAATATCTTTATTTAATATTTTTTAAACCAATAAAATCAATAGATTATCCATATATATGTATTTTTTTTTAACTATTTTACCATTCAAATTTATTAAAAAAGAGTATCAAAAAATAAATCTAAAAAAGCTCATTCAAGTAATTGATATTTCAGATGATTTATCAACTGAGCTAAAATGGTTTTGTTTGGATGTTTAGTATCTACCTGTTTAATTTTTTGTTATCCTATGGTGTTAATAAAAGGATTCGTTGTTATAAAAGTGAGGTATATAATATATGATTACCATTTAATGAGTTTTAATTAAGGGATTTACATCTTACAATGGTGGAGGAGAGAAAACAACAAATCTCGACCGTCCAAATCCAATAGACAGAGGGTTTCTCGCGAAGAGAACACGTGCTTCTCTACCTTTTGTTCCCTTTTTCCCATTTCTTTTGCTTCCATGCATGGAATTCTCCTCACACTCCAACACAAACACAGCACGAGAACGAGAGAGAGAGAGAGAGAGAGAGAGAGAGAGAGAGAGAGACTGTGTGCGGCGTTTGTTGAGAGAAAGCAGAATGGAGCCAGAAAAGCGGCTGAGCTTTGATTACTCGTGTTAAGGAACCCATCTCTTCTCCGAAGTTTTTGATTCTTATTTCTTCCTACCAAAAAAAAAAAAAAAGAAAAGGGCAATTTTTTTTTCCAAACTTTAGATATTGGGGATTTCAAAGTTTGTGTTTTTTTTCCCGTCTCCTGTTTTTGTTTTTCTTAGCTTGGAGGTCGGATCTCGTACTTAGCACAGAACAACTGTCACATCCTAAATCTGATCGCTGCGAAAGCAACAAACTTGCTGCTCTCTCTCTCTCTCTCTCTCTGCCATCTGGGATTTGGGTGTTCTTCGGGTTTGCAGCATCGTTTCGAAGATTTCAGGTAACTGAGAGGAATGGGTTCTCGCCAATCCTCCTTTTATACTTTTCCTCGTGTTTGGTATTTTCCTTTTTGTTTTCTCGGGAATCCCCTTTTGATTCTGTTTGCTTCCTGTTTGATCAGTTGCCTGAGATAGATCGAGCGATCAAATGGAGCAGAACAGAGAGAGGAACTTCGTGTGCAAGTTCTGTTCCAAGAGGTTCTCTTGTGGGAAATCACTCGGAGGCCACATACGAACTCATATGAACGAGAATTCAGTTGATTCAAACGAGGATGAGGCGAGTAAGCTCAAAATCTCTGACAATGGCGGCCAATCCAGTTACGGTCTGAGGGAAAACCCTAAGAAAAACAAGAGGTTCGCCGATCGAACTGAGATGAACTCTTTGAAGCAGCAGCAGCTTTTTCTGTGTAGAGAGTGTGGAAAGGGGTTCAGTGCTCTGAAAGCTCTTTGCGGTCATATGGCTTGTCATTCCGACAGGGAGAAAGTGGTAATGGACAGTCAGTCTGATACTGAAACTTCGTCGGCTCCGATTAGGAGGAGATCCAAAAGAGTGACGAAACCCCACAAAGCTTTTGTTCTTGGCGATGTCAATCAATCCAGTTCGGTCTCTTTTGCTAACGGCAACTCGTCTTCTGTGTCGGAGATCGAACAAGAACAGGAAGAACTGGCATTGTGCTTGATGATGCTGTCGAAGGATTCCAGTTTCAGGAAAGCTCATAACTTGGGGAACTCTTTGGGGGAGTCATCGGATAACAACTCCGTGATTCTGGAGACCAAGTCCTTGTCTTCGGGAGATTTGAAGATCGTCAATGTGAAGGATGCTGGAGAATTCTGTTGTAATGCTGATGAGATTTTGGGCGCAAAGAAACTGGGAAACCATTCGCAGTCGAGATCTGCTGAGGATAATGATGTTCTCCTCGATGATTCTGATAATTCTGATTCTGGGTATTTCAGAAATGGCCCAAAGAAGGCAGATTCAGATGTCTCCGTTGATGGGTTTCTCAGAAACACCGGATCCAACAAGGCTGTGATCGAATCTGGATCAGTATTCAGCAACTCCCCAGCAAAACAGGACAAGAACTTGAACAGACTGAGGAATGCTGTTGAACTGAGGAAAGAATGGTACAAAGAGGGAAGAACAGGCCGTTCTGCAACAAAGTATGATCTAAGGAAAAAGGGCAAGAGGGTTTGTTCCAACAGCCGGAAGAAAATGAAATACGAGTTCAACGCGAATGGATTCAACGAATCAGTCAACGACAGTGGCGAAAACAGCTTGGAAGCTGATTCTTGTTCAGACACAAACCAAAACACTCCCGGAGAAAGCAAGATTCATCAGGGCAGAAGAAGTAGCAAGGCCACAACAGCTGCAGCCACTTGTAGTAAGAAACCGAATGCGAAAAAGAAAAGCAAAGGGCACGAGTGTCCGATCTGCTTCAGGGTTTTCAAGTCAGGTCAGGCTCTAGGCGGACACAAGAGATCACACTTCATCGGCAGCCATGAGAACAGCACAGTGGTGATCCGACAGGAAGTAACTGAGATGCATCATACAATGATAGATCTCAACCTTCCTGCTCCTGTTGATGAATGAAACAGAACCTGGACTGCACTGCCCTCAGAGGAAATCCAAAGAGATTTTCCTCTCTTTTTTTGCTTGCTTTGCTTCAGATTCAAGAATGCTTTCCAGATGGGAAGGTTAAAAACCAGCTTTTGATCTGTTCATATCAAAGCTTATTGATTTGTTCTTTCAATATCTTGTTGATATCTTATCATGGCAGCTTCTTCACAGTAGTGATCCATCACATCTTGCTTCTTCTTCTTTATCTTCTTCAAACAAGCTTTCACATTTTGTGCTTTCCTTTTTTTTTTTCAGCTTTCACTTAAAGTCTTCACTAACTAAATGTTGGATCTTTTACATTCATGATGATATGAAATTGATAGAAATCATGTAAAGTTGCAAACTTTTGTATCATTTTGATCTAAGAGTCATACTTTCTCGATTAGAAACTTGATGGGTGATGCCAAGTGGTGTTTGAAGTGAAGAGAAATGGTTATGAACAGAGAACAGAAAAGGACCACATTTGGCCTCTGTGAGGAAATTCTTGGCAAAAGAGCCCTTCTTTGGAGTGGGATGGAAGTTTCCTCTTCAACCCCTAACTTTTGCATTGCTTGCCGTCAACTCTCACTATTTTTATTTTACTTTATAAATTTAATCTGAAACTTTAATAAAATTTTAAATTCCTTCTGGTAGATGTTGAGCATTTTTATGTGTAGTGAAAATGATGGTGTTTTGGTGCACTCTTTAGTATTTTTTTTTTCCCTTTACAATGCCATAAAAATGATTTTTTTATAATTTATTTAGCTAATCAATATTTATGGCCTCCATTAAAAAAAACCTACCTTACATGGCTGGATTTAAGCTGATTTTTCTCTACTTTGAATAATTCAATTCGGCAAAGAAAGGGTTGTAGTTTTTTTTTTCATTTTTATGTAAAAATCTAAAAATTATCTAGTATTATTTAAAGCTAAACCTTGTTCTATTTTTATTTTAAAATATTTGTATTAAATACTCAGAATTGATTTTATATCTTCCATATTATTCCCATTATGTTGCTTTGCTCACTAAGTGAAAATAAAAAAGAAACAAAAGCACAAATACTATAAAAGGTATGAATATAACACTATTTGTTTATTATTTATTAATTCGGGACATCAAAATAGAAGTTTGAATTGGAACGAGGAATTAGAGCATAGTGTAATGTAAAAAGTTGGTTGAGAGAAAATGGAATATCATTGAGGACATTGTTATTGTTATTATTATTATTATTATTTGGTCTTTTTTTTAATCTGATTTGATGTTTCAAACTTTCAAAGCCGAATCGCCACTCCAATGTTTTGTTGTCCTGTCCTCACCAATGGAAATATCTCTGCATCCTCTTTCTTTCCCTTTATAAGTCCAATTTTCACATTTTTAATGATTTTTTCACTGAAATACATAAAAGGTATAATGCATATATATATATATGTATGTGTGTATATGTAATTGGATGTCATGGATTACCCAAACTTCCCAAGAAATTGGGCTTTATGGAGACGAAGCTCAATACTAATACCGTTATGGGCTCATACTCGGCCCATTAATATCATCAAGGCTTCAGCCCATATTCTTTTTTTTAATGGATTTTCTGAAATTATTTAAAAAAAGGGCCGTTCCCTTCACCTCCCTCTCTCTCTCTCTCAAGAACATTTCTTGAAGGATTCTTGATCTGTTCACTGATCCACGGGAGATTCTGCGACTGCAGTTCCTGGACAGAACCTTTCCCTTTTGATACAACTAGAGGGTTAGCTTCCGCATCAATGGCTACCATAAAACCCCAAGATGTCATCCTTAATTCTACGTCTTCAGATCTTTCTTAGGGGCTTCTTCTAGTTTAGAAAAGACTATAGCTATTTCCACGCTTATTGTTGGCGAGAGAGAGAGAGAGAGAGATGAGTTGTGTTCCATAAATTGTGGAACTGTAACTCATGTCTTTGTAGATGGGGTCTGTGTAATGACTTCGGGTTGGTCGCCGTGGAATCTGATGGGCCACGACTCTCCAGTCTCCGTCTTTCTCTCACACAACTTGTGGAAGTTCCGTTTATCAAAAAAAAAAAAAAAACTTGTGGAAGTTCCCATGATCCTGGTTCCAAAATCACAGAAGCTTTCAGGGCACAGAAACGACACCGTTTTTGCTTGTAGAGTCTTGTGAGGGACTACCCTTCAGTTCGGTGATCCATCGGACACTGGATTGAACTTGTACGGTCGCAGATTCGAGTAGCTGTCGTTCGTGAAAAAATAGAGCGTATATTCCGAGGGAAAAAAATTCGAGTAAAAGACAAATAATATTTCTACATTGTTTTTTTTTTTGTAATTAAAATTGATTCTGTTTTTTTACCTCGCCTGAGTAGCTCGTTGAGCTTTTTTTTTTCGTACTGTGGCGAAGGTGGAAATTGGATTTGATAATTCCGTAATTCCGTCGGTGAAATCGAACTCCCCAATCCCAGGTGAGGGTTTTGAATGTTAAATCGATGTGCGTTAGCTGAGATTCGAGGCTTCGCCGTTTTCGCCCTTTTGGATGTGAAAACTCTGTCTGTTCCTTGGCTTTTCCATGCACTAGGATGGGTTTGATTCGAATTTTCGGTTTGGAATTTTAGCTTTTCGTTTCTTACTAGTCATCATGCACGGATGGGTAATGTCTGGATCTCTGATATGTAATTCGATCGTTGTGGATGGTATTTGCTTACGTAATTCTTGTATGGGAATGGAGAATTTTGAGATTGTTGATTGGATTTGACTTCCCAGTTATGTAAACAATCGTTTTTTCACCTGAATTTCTCTTCCTTTGTCATCTGCGGTGATCAAACTTTGACAGGAAAGTATGCGGTTGTAGCAAACCATTATATGATGCGTTAAATTCTTCTGCTGGGGCCAAAAGAATGTTATAATATAGTTTGTGAAGATGTATGAGCCCGTGGCTACGGCCACGGATTCCCGGGGTGGATCTCCGACGGAAAGTGGTGATTATGTCGTAACTTTGGATCAAATTCCGAGGTGGAGTGATGTCGAGCAGAGATCTTCTCTTGAATGTGAAGCAGGAGATCCATCCCTTTCCAACCTGTGCTTTGCCAACCCTTTGGCTTCATCTTCCGAGGCAGAGAGTAGCGGAAACGGGGTGTTATCCAAATTTCCAGTTGATCCCGAAATAAACTCTAAAATATATTTGTGGAGAGGGGAACCTTGGAACCTTGAGGTTGATGCAGTCGTAAATTCAACAAATGAGGTAAGCTGTCTGAAGATCGCGAGATCCTTACGAGTAATGTCCTTTATGCATTTTTTCATATGCTCTTGTTTGTTCGGAGGGCAGAATTTGGAAGAGGCACATAGTAGTCCTGGTTTGCATGCGGCTGCTGGATCTGGTCTTGCAGAAGAATGTGCTACATTGGTAGAAACTCTTTCTTGTCTTTATTTATCTCTTTCCTTACGAATTTCATACCGTACATATTGTCATGTTTAAGAAGGATCCATGGAAGAGGGTATTCACTTGGTCATATTCATCTTTCTCGGCAGGGTGGATGTCGCACTGGGATGGCTAAAGTCACAAACGCCTATGACCTACCAGCGAGGTGAGTACATTTGTGCTACACCCTCGGCGGTGCAGAAAAAATCCCTAAAAGTTGTTATTGTATTCCTTGAAGGTGAAATTTCTGTGTTTCCCCTTGAATCTGCACTTCGCTATATCTTTTTTTCCATTTATCTCTGTTCGTACAATAGAACAACTTAATCGTTGAAGACTGTTTTGTATTGTATACTTGTCCCATACAATAAATTTGCCACAGACATCTTGTTACATGAAATCTTATTTGTAATTTTGCTGTTCCTTAGTCTGTGCCGTAGTTTCCGGTTTTAGTTTCAATGGATGCTCAATTGTTTGTTTTTCCAGGAGAGTTATCCATACAGTAGGCCCAAAGTATGCAGTGAAGTATCATACAGCAGCAGAGAATGCTCTAAGCCATTGCTACAGATCGTGTCTGGAGCTTTTGATTGACAACGAGCTTCGAAGGTCCATGACGAGACATGCTGCACTTGTTTTGTGTATTTATGCTTTCTGAAATCAATAACTTAATCTTGGTTCATGTAAAAACGTTGCAGCATTGCTATGGGCTGTATATACACTGAAGCGAAAAACTATCCCCGGGAACCAGCTGCTCATGTTGCCATAAGTAAGACAGTTGTCTCAAATGACAATGTTGCTTTCAAGAGTGTTTCCAACCATTATATGTGTGCTCTTCATACAGGGACTGTTCGCCGGTTTCTAGAGAAACAGACGGATAAAATTGGTGCTGTTGTTTTCTGTACAACCACAACATCTGATACAGAGATTTATAAAAGGTACCTTGAATTCCCTGCAGTCGGTTTCTTGGAGAAGTAAAGCTGATTCTGCCCTAGGAATTCATATCACTTGATACGTAGAGAGAGACCTGAGCATATTCATGTAAGACCATAACATCTAATTTCAGACTGCATGTGGTAGATGTTATTTCTCCGATACCATGCTTGCTATTTTGATTGTTATTAACATGCAATTTTTCCTAAATGTAGATTACTTCCACTTTATTTTCCTCGAGACAAACGCGAGGAAGAAGTTGCCATTTCAAAGCTCCCAGCTGATGTTGGGGATGAAAATGGGGAGACGGTTATAGACGAACGCAAAATCAGAATACAGGCACTGCCAAATAAACCCGTGGACAAAGCAACCACAGCCCCAGTTGAACGTCCTGTCAATGATCTTGCCTTGGTACGAAGGTCGGTGTCAACTCTTTCGGCTTCGGTTTTTGCACTTTTTTGTCTATATTTTTTGAATAATCTGTTACCCGTAACAGTGACCTTGCTCGATAACTGATATAATTCCAGGAACTCGCATTATCTGGATTCATATTTGGATCCTGCCTTCATGTCCTTGATCAAAGATCCAGATGAGAGGCGTATAGAGCAATGGGAGAAAACCGCACAAGCACAAAGTGGATTCAATTTTGTTAAATTGCTAGGATTCGGTGATCTTGGTGGACCCACACTCTCTGCTGCGGAGGAATACTCACTCCATTCACGATACCTTGCTAAAGCTAATTCTCTCAACCTCTCGGAAATTGCTGAGATGAAAATCGTGTATGGGTTCTACATTTTATATCTTCGTTTTTTCTCCATTTTACCGCTTACTTTCCCTTCTATATCTTTAATCCAGTGGCAAATGAACGCATTGATGAGCTAATAAGTCGTGTTTTCTTTCTTCAGCTACCGTGGTGGTGTTGACAGTGAGGGTCGTCCAGTAATGGTAATTGTAGGAGCACACTTTTTGCTTCGGTGTCTTGATCTGGAGCGGTTTGTGCTTTATGTCGTAAAGGTATGTCACCAAATCCAGTTACACAAGGAAAAACAGCTTCTTATTTTATATATTTAATTTCTGGAACATGGAAATACCATTATGAAATTTGCAGGAATTCGAGCCCGTGATACAAAAGCCTTACACTATCGTCTACTTCCATTCCGCAGCATCTTTGCAACTGTAAGTTTCGTAGTTTTGTT